TTACGTTGTCAAAGCCAGACAGGGACAAGGATATGAACTGACACACAAGGATGGTTTACTTCCAGATACCTTCAAAGGTAAACCAGTTAGGGTGGAACTTTTGCGATTACTCCATAGAGCCACCGAAAAACCTTTAGAAGATCATATGTGGCAGGATAGTTCCTCGTTCCGTTACATCATTCGACATAGACAGAATGAACATATATCGTCATCTGTCAACCTGCAGCTCATATTACCCCGCACTTCGGCTTGCAAAGCACCAATCATACACCACCCTCCTCTTCTTTCGAGCCTGCGCGGCCGTTCGCCAACAAACCGCACAATACAACTTCGAACTTTTCACTTATTAGTTTTCACACTTATAAGTAGCTCACACTTAGAAGTTATCGCACTCTTATTAACGCCCAGGAATATTACCGAACAGTTCGGTACATGCAACACCAAAATTGTTTTAAATCGGAGGTAAACAAGGTTGACATTACACATTTCGCCAGCATTTGTCCTTTCGACGGCGTCTATTTTCTGATCACCCGTTGGTGGAGATTTGTTGAAAAAACAAATTAAAAAAAAAACGAAAGTCAGACTGAATTCAATGCCTTGGACCAATACGAGTACGAGATATAAATATATATTCTTCTTCTGAAAATTATTAACTAGTCAGGACCAGGGTATGGAAGCAAAATTTGTTCAAATTGCGAGAGACGGGAGAATCGCGCAACCCGTGCTAAAGCATGGATATCTGGTCATTTTATCTGGAATCTACAATATATATTCGGCCGGCGTCTCATTTTTGGTTTTTGGTCCGGCTTGTAGGACTGGGTCTTAAGGGTTTAGGATTATTTCTAAACAAACCCAGAAGACATGTCCGGCACTTTTAGTTATTAAAAACATTCTGTTTTTCATTGTAAAAAAAAAAGTATTTTATGAAATATGTATAAATACACATATTTCTATAAACAGAAAAGTATTATAAAAATGCACTCTGCTTCAGCCGTCACATAGGGCAACTACATCAATCGACGAGAATTGCAAATATGGTACCCTTTGTAACTTTACTTATGTGTGTTTGGTGTTTAGTGATTGGCAGTACAAAAGCTGATGATATAGAGAATGGCATTGGTCACGAGTACTTTAAGAAGTTCCAGATCAAACCCAATGGACTAACCGAAAGTGTCAGTCTGAAGAGAGGGAAAGTGGAATGCACTTTTGAGTGGGCGACAACTGGAGGCACCGACGAGGTAGGTAATGCAATCCAATTGAATACCCTTTTATAATCTAGATATGCAAATACAGAGGTTACGGTACTATGTACACTGTGGGACATATATATATATATATATATATATATAATAATAATAGATATATATACACACACACACACATATATATATATATATATATATATATATATATATATATAATATATATATATATATATATATATATATATATATATATATATATATATATATATATATATATATATATATATCTATATATA